ATAGATATTATTGATTTATATATGTTTCTGAAAAATATACCACTGATTGTCACCTGAAAAGAGCTTTTCATTAAATGGGAAATTAAAACTAAGAATGTCATTACACATACTCTTATTTAAATTTCAATAACAAAAAAGGTTCCAGTCAGAATTTTGGAAAACAAGAAATAAAATGATTTAAATTTTGCCGGAATTCAGCTTGTAGGAAATAATTTTATTAAAATAACTTTTTTTTAAACCGAACAAGAAGTTTTTCCAGTCTTCCTTGGCACTAAATGATGAAGGAGATCGATGGTAATTGGCAGTGCTGCCAGTTGGAAAAAGTATTTACTATGCTGAATACCATCGATAACTCCGATAAACATTGAATCTTAACGGTCATTGAATCAAATAGAATTTTGCAAAATACCTCACTTTTATTACTTCTACATGTAATGCATTACACAATTAGTAGTATTTATGTCTCCAATAGGCACTTCATTATTCCATTAGCGCACAAGCTATTATCATAATATCAGACAAATTAATACTGCATTTATATTAGAGGTGGTTCGTGCGAAATTTATGCGACTGCCAAAGTTAAAATACAAAATTACATGACTGAATGTAATGGTATAATAAGTGGGTGTTGTCACAAATTATTTGAAGTGAGTATAATTTCTTGCAGAGCTCATTGCAATACTAACTTAGGCAAATTTAAATACACTTGAAACTATGAATTTACCCAATATCGAAATATTTCAACAATCTGCAAGATTTCATCAATTTATTTACTACTAGAAGTAAGTTTTAAATTGTTAGAAGTTTAACTCCAATCATTTTGGAAGTGTAATAAATCTGTTTCAAAAATATATCACTTTTAAAATAATTTGTAACGATGTTTGAAAAGAGTCGATGATGTAAAAATATCACTGGGTTGAAGGACTCAGTAATATTTTTACATCATCGATTATGTCATTCCAACCTTCGAAATTTTCAATCTGTACGGTGCTGAATGATTCTGCTTACTTAATTTAATCCAATATTGTTATTTATGCATAATTATAGAAATTTTTGGTTTTTAATTTTTATGACATCAATTAATTGAAAATTACAAGCATATTGGCTTATAATTTTTATAGAAGAAGTAAAATTGCTGAAGGTTTCGACAGAAAATCGAAGATCCAATAGATTTTGGCGTCGCAATGTTGTCACTTCTTTTCTGTAACAGGTGAAAATTTTCAGTGAATCAAGGAAAAGAGTTGAAGGAATAGAGCTTCTCATTTCTTTTATATACACAATTAACTTTCATGGTATTGAATTGGTACCAGCAAACTCCGCATCTTTAATTATTAATTACTTAAAAAAGCTTAGAAAGCAACATGCTGATATGTTACTGTCCTGTCATAATAATTGCAGAACTATCCAAGGTGACGCGCAGTACAGTCTTAAAGTTTAACCATCGATCCGAAGCGCCGCATTATCGCGATGGCAGAATTACCCCGCTAAATTTAGAAAGTCATTATGGAAGCAATTTCTGATGTATGTCTCTTATGCTGACATGTTAAATTTAAAGTGGATTGGAAAACAATTAGTCATTTAATCATGAAATACAAGTAATCAATTCTGTCATTTATGTACTTCTCTACATATGCATATTTTCTCTTTAAAAATCTTTACAAAAAAATGAATAATATATGGTTTGACTATTAAACAGAAATTCGATGAACGGTTGTGCAATAATTACACTGTTGACAAATATTGGCACCATAGCTTTTGCAAGACATGATCTACCGATGGATTTCAATGATATGGTGGTTTATGCTAGACCTGGTATTACGTATATTTGTTAGAGATTTAAAATAATTAAATCTTGAATATAATTAGATCAATCCTTCTATTGAGAAGAAACTTTTTAGTTGCAAAACTGTTGACAAAAATGAATGGTATGTATTAATAGCTGATGACATTAATAATAATAAAGTTAATAATTTTCTTTCTTTATAGGTGATGCGATGCAGCTAAGCAAACTTAATGTGTACGATAATGAAGATTTAAAAATTAATTGTGGCAAAACGCGTCGGCAATGGCTTTCTTCACGTTCGTTTTTAATTCTTTATCAATTCAGCTTTTCTAATACTAATTCATATAATATAATGTTATTAATGCACAAAACATTCATCAGTTCTATACAAACGCTGAATACACCATGCGTACGCCAACTTCTACGTCACTCCTGAATCATCGTTTATCTTGTTGGTCATTAAAGAAACCGTTACAACGGTTGATGCTATTTCAGCATATAAAATCTCGGCTGGATCAGCTGCAAAATTAGGTCAATTCCCATGGGCTGTAGCATTAACCATTATCAATCAGGAGCATTACAATTACTGTGGTGGATCGATCATCTCAAAGCGACACATCCTTACAGCAGCACATTGCATTATGAAATACGAAAGTCACCAATTGCCATGCATGTTGGTTATATCGCTAAATAAGCAAGTTTAACCAATAAATTGCTGTATTGTCTACCTTACAATAGTGATTGCATGTCAGGATTGTCGTGCATTTGCATGAAATAGGAGTTATTTTAGATTTGCAACAAATCTGGACGATATAACTCGAATCGCAGTACGATATGGTGGAGTATGCTTACGAAGCCATTCTCCACCATGTGACGGAGAGCTATGCATGACAGCTAGAATTCGCAAAATTGCTGTTCACAAACGGTACGCTGCATCAGTTTTTTTGAAATTAAATTTAAGACCAAATAGCATCACTATTTCACTTTATAGTGATACCATTCAAATTTAGAATACAAAAAAAGTTTTGTTCAAAAACTTTTCAAAATAAAAATTTCTATCAAAAAAAACGATTTTTCAGTTTTGTAGATGGAGGTTGTTTAGATGGGTATGATTTCGCAATCGTTGAAATGGAAACCGATTTGGTGGTAAATAAATTCAATGATGTCGTTA